TACCGTGGGGATATATTCTAAGAATATACCATATGGTATATTCGATTGACAATATTCTTAGAATATTCAAGGGAGAATAATCCATTTATAGACATTCTATGCACATTCTTTCGGGAATAATCCTGCCATATTCATTCAAGCATATTCTATGAATATTCTAAAGGCATGTATATACTCCAAGAATATTCTATGAATATTTGTAATATATATGTTCGTTTTATGATATAGTGCTGTGTGGGCTCAGCCTCGGACATATTGCAACTGTGTTCCAGGAAGAAGTAGCGACCATCAAACACTGTATAAGGGAAATAAACAGGCAGGAGGTCACAAATGAAACCATTGCCATTTTCTCCGAATGCCAGGCGGCAATTAAGACGCTCAGCTCATTTCAAGTCTCATCAAGACTGTTGGGAAGCTGTCTGAGCGCATTCAAGGAGCTCAGTACCCAAAATAGGACCACTCTGGATTGGGTACCCGGTCATGAGGGTCACAAGGGCAATGAGGAGGCCGATGTACTAGCCCGTGAAGGCGCATCGGCCCTGAACCCTTTGGAGGAGTAGCGAAAGCATCCATACATTCATGGATGTAAGCCGGATCGATAGATTGGTGGAATAAGCTCCCAGGAATGAGGCAGGTGAAAGATTTCATGAAGGAACCATTGCCCAGATTCTCGGAAGTCCTGCTAAACCGCAACCGTAAGGTTGTAAGGGTAGTGGTGGGTCTACTAACGGAACATAGCCGACTCAGGAAACATATGAGCAACATGGGTTTGACAGAAGTAACCCCGTACAGGTTCTGCCAAGAAGAGGAAGAAACCGCACTGCATGTGCCCTGTGGATGCGAAGCGATAGCAAGGCTGAGACATGCAAAATGCGGGGAAGAGAAACCAGAGGCTGCCAGCTATAAGACGGGTTCAGTGGCAAGGCTATGGAGTATCATCAAAGAGATCAAGCTATACAATGAGCTTTAACAACCAAGGAGCATCATAATAAATCTGAATAGGTCGCAGTGAATCAGACCATGGACTAGCTCTTCGACAATCTTATCTAATCTAATATGGGCAGTCTTGAGATAAATAGAGCATGCATTCCAAAATGCTTTTTTGTGCAACAGAAGCTGCTTGAACAGATGAAAAAAATTTTGTATAGTTTTGAAGTTGAAAAGCTAGATATGTACTATGAATTCATTAGCACATAACTGTTTCTGAATTCCTAAACATGTAACAAAATTTTAGTTGAATTTGTAATCCATGGTGAGTACGAGATACTTTGTAGAAGGATTTTCTCTGTTTCGGAAAGAATGAAATCTTAAATGACTAGTTCCTTTCATATTCAAATGAAGATAATCTTGATTGAACCAAAGTCCAAGTATCGATCCTTGCGGTATCCCGACGTTCATATTAAATATATCTGAATTANAAAATTTGAGTCTTTTCCAAATAAATGATATTTTTGATCAATAAATTTATATGAATTATGCTGTGTAGCGTTCCTTCAATTCCATAACGAGTTTGTAGTCTTGTCAAAATGAGAAAAACTGATTTCCATTTGTTGATGTTTAAGAGTAGTTGTTTCAACTTTTTCAGTTTGTATTTGACAAAAACGTCTTCGCATGATTTGCACATCTTTGTGAAGAGTTTTTATTGAAGTTATTTCATTTCTTCCTTTCTTTGAAAATTCAAGACATTTCTAGTTCAATAATGAAGATAAAAAAAGCCATTTTTTTTTCAAAATACTTATCTTTTCTAAAAATGTTTTTGAAGTGATAACTTCTTATGGGAGGGTCTGACTTCCTTTTTTCTTATGCACACATCAGCGGAAGGCAGGCTCACCCACTCTCGTCGGACAAACACTCAGGGTTTATTGTAGAGATATACTGTTGACAGTATTATAAAATATTCTTTTGTTATATGAAACGTAGCCTCAAAATGATGATACTGATTTCGTGTATGTACATTATTAGTATCATTATCACATCCTACAAAAGTTAAAATTGGCTTATGGTTGCTCTAATATATGTACATACATAAAACAATCAATAAATGATTTTATTAATAAATGAGCTTTCCTTACATTGCATCATAATAATATACATAAAATTCAAATAATAACCTAAGCTTGTCTCAAGTTGACAATTTCAATATTGAATAGTTCAACTTAGATCAGTGTATGTTATCACTTCTGTCGGGCGTGCCACGACGCACAGGTTTTTTTTTTCAAGCAGGGGCGTCAAAAGCTCTAAGACCGACCCTGTCCTGCCGACAGTCCGACTGTCGGGGAACTCCCGGTTTGATTTATTATTTCGCGATCGGTTAATCTCGTTGACGAGAAGTCGTTCACGTCGAGCAATAATGGAACTAGTTCGGAGTGGAATTCGGTTTTATGTCTGACGCGACCTCTTTGATGGACTAGGAGTCTGTGCTGATGGTTAGTCAGTCGTTTTCTTTATGAACGGTACATTACACACATATTACATTCACGTCGAACGTTGCACCGAAAGTTTCCATCGAATTGAGCCAGAATATAGAAGTGCTAT